CCTGCTGATACTAACAGAAAATGCAGAATGAGCATAAGCAAACAGAGCAGTGGGCAGTCTTTCACTGCCAGGCATTACTGTGCTGTAACAGTTATCACAGCATGAAACTCTTCAAGTAGGACTTTGCAAAACAGAGCAAATGTGAACTTGACCCAAAATCAACAAGTACTGGCTTGCTTACTTGCTCATGATAACCCTTCAAAGAGGTATCTAATGGCTCCTGGCTACAAATCGCATGCAAAACAGAAAAGCGCAAGCAATTTGGGTACCTCTACCATACCCTAGCCATTGAGTTCTGTGTATCACAGAGTTTAACCATAAATGCGTTAACTGGATATGCAAGTTCACAGTCTAGTTTTCAAAGGGATTAAGCACTCCCCATTCCCCAGAGCAGGAAGGACCTCCAGCACTTCAAGGAAGACTGGTGCAGTAAGAATTCTCCTATGTGAACTTCAGCATCTGTCTTTACTTGAACAAGGACCAAGACAAAGGCGGGGGGGGAAGGGGGGGGGGGGGAAAAAAAACACCAGGGCAGGAAGAGCTGAAGACAATACCCAATGTGAATGACAGACTGATCTTCTACCTGAAGTTTTCTATCTGCAAATTAAGCACTAAACCAGCCTAATCCAGAGCACTGCAATATTCACATTCAACAACAGCAAGACACGTACGCAGACGCCCACAGTAACATGCATGCATTTTTCTGGCTGCCTGCTTAAAAATAGACTACTACGAGTAATTCTTGGAACACATCAGATTCTAGCTGAAACAGATTTTTCAGGAGAAGAATACAGTAAGAAATAGAACCCAGCCTTCTCTTCAACAGCCTTTCCCAGCCTGTACTGACTCTTCCCCCTGTGATCTAACTCATTTCCTTCTCAGGGGGAAACTTGAGAGTGGGGCTGATGTTTAAGGCACTACACAATTAAAACACACAGTTCTGTCCTCAGCCTCCTCCTGTGCAGGCATCCAAGCTGCATAAACCTTGAAATGAGATACAACAACAGAAAGCTTTACTTTTCCTTAACACGCCACAGTGCCTTGCACAGCAGACTGGAACACAACAGGACACTTCCAGGGCCTGAAGGTTAGAAATTAATCCGACTATGAGAGTGTTTGAAACTGTACTTCAGTTTGGGCTGTGAATTCTATATAAAAGGGGTTCAAGAAGGCCAAATCTCTATACAGACCTTCCACAGTTTGTATTTTAAGAGCCGAAATACAGGGGAGATAACCAGTCTGGGGATTGTGTAAACAACATGAGCACAGAAGAAAAATGTATTCGCCTTAAAAGGCGCAGGCTGAGCATCCCTCAAGCAGCCATTGACCTGGGTAATTAAGTCAGCATCAGTAGCCCTTTTTCTTCTCCTCCCCATTATAACTCTAGGCCCTCCTACTGCCCACTGCAAGACTTTAACATTACTAGTGAACACAATTGTCTCCAGTCACAAGATCAGGGACACATTTAACTGCACATCTCAAGTCTGCTGAAGCAGGGTGTCCTTTGTGCTAAAGTCCACATTCTCTAGGAACAGAGGAAACTGGAAACTGCAAGTCCCTGGCTTTTGGGAAATGCACAGCTTAAGGGAAAAGCCAAATGCCAGAATTAAAGAGGTGCAAAGTATCTTCAAGAAATTTAAATTCCAGGGTTTTTTTTTTTTGGACGGGACGACGACACACGGACGGACAGACGGGGGAAGGTATTTGGAATGCTCCCTCTATAGACTACAAAGCAACAACACTCCTAAAACCTGCTCAGTGTCTCCTTGTAACCAGGCATACCTGAGCTGAGTTTTTGTCTACATAGATGTGGATAACTCCTCCATGTTTGTTACATTCCTCAATCACATCGTCTTTAATTTCTGTATCCCAGCCAGCTTCTTCTTCACTGTAGAGGGTGGAGAAAGAACAGGACAGAGATGGAATTGTTATCACTCAGATGAAATCCACCCCAAAACCCATCAAAAAACCCTCTGCAACGTTCTGATTCCTCTCTCAGATGTTAAAGTCATCAACAAATGCCAAACAGACAACAATACATCACTTACGTTTGAGGATTAAACATGTTGGAAAGCTGGAAGCACTGTGTTGCAAGTGGTTGTACAGAAGCAGCTGCAGCCAGAACTGTTGTAATGGGAAAAAAAAACCACACAGTAACAGATCTAAGCACCCACTATGCATGGCTTCAATTTAAATGAGTATCTGCTATCTGTTCTTAAATTCCCAACATTCAGCTATAGTAGCAACCATTCTAACAGAAAATTGAAGGCAGTAAAGCAAAACTCATAACTAGACACCATTTATGATAGAGAAATTTTAAATTGACCGATACAGAAAAGAGCATAGATGACCTAAAGTTGAAGCTGAAAGAGAAGATAACCCTGCACATTGATTTTGGCAGATTTTCTATTTAAACATTCAAATGCAGATACATGCATCTTCACACGCATCTAAAATATCTGCCAGAGTTCACTGCCAGCAACACCTTCAAATTTTTTTCTCCTCATGGAAGCCAAACAGCAACTCAGGATGGAGTGGGAACACCCAACCTGACTTCACAGGAAACAGACCTCTTCAAGAATTCTCAAAGTATATTTTAAGCACTTTGAATTATCCTTCAAAAACATGTAGTTGTACTTTTGTCCCGTCGAAATGTGTAAGGTAGGAAATATTTGACAATTTATTACTTGTCATTTACTGTTGCTCATCATCACGGTACATCTTCTTAAAGGTTAAGTGCTGTCCTATAGGCTGCAAGCTTCTGTTCATTTAGCTGAAATAATAGCCACCTCCTCTCTATATATGCAGACAGGGGTTAAGCAGTCGGAGTAAGATGACAACTAATCCAGCGACAGTAAACCCAAACTTCCGATTCTCAAATGACCCCTCTAGTCCCTACCTCGAAGGCAGGAAAAAACCCCACACCCAACCACACCTAAATCCACAAACAAAACCACAAATCCCACACATTTTCTAGGACTAACAAAGGGCTGGAGAATGTTACCAGCACTGAGGAAATGCTACAAAGAAAGGGCAAAGTGTTTAACATACATTGTTATTTTCAGTCAATAATCAATACCTAGTATGATTCCTACAGACACAAAGACAATACAATTTCTCAGGCTGTTGGCAAACTCTACACCAGAAGCATTTCACTTACAGACATCTGCAACAAGACCTACTGATGACAAGTTACATCAAATGCTAGTTTACCTTCATTCTGCTGAGACAGTCTTGTTTGCAAATCTAAAGAAAAATATACAGAAGTTAATTAGTATGCTTGCTAGCACTGTTGTATCACTACCTGCCAGCCAGGCTGTTTAGCTCATATCTTTGTGGTTAAGAGCTTGTTCAAATACCTCAACCCACTCTCACTGTTCCTCTCTAGTTTTCAGTAGCTTCACTTATTTCAGCTTCTCAGCTGGAATATTCTGTACTCAGTAGAGATTCCATGACTACAAAGGTAAGCATATTTCAAAGAGAAACAACACCTTAAAAGGAAAGACACAGCAATGTCCTTTAATTCAATGTACCATTTTCTACTTTGCCTTTGCTGTGCTTCAACTCTTTGTTAAGATGTATTTTGTTCCATGAGAAAATAATCACAGCAATTCTTAACAGCCATTAGAAGTTTGCATCTTTACTAAGAG